ATGGGGGAAAAGGGAGGAATCCCAAGAAGTCCTCACACCTGAGGCCCCCAGGCCCTGCTTAAAACTGAGCTGGACCAAGAGGTAGCATTCATTTCCTGCACACTCATGTCAATGACAGGTGCTCTCTCTGGTCCTCCCCTAGCTGCCTAACCCTCACAATGAGCCCAGCACTAAGTAATAATAGTAGTCTCCCACTAGAGAATGGGAAGGTGTGGAGAGGGAACCCCTATCAGAGACGACTGAAGCTGAAAGTAGAGCACAAACACTGAGAAGTCCCTCTGGCAGCCCACCGTGGGGGAATATAAAGCCTGTGATGTACTGAGAATAACAAGCCACAACATCCAAATCATTCTCAACTACTAACTAGATTGACTAACCACTCCCTACGCACATACTAATGCCCTGCAAGAAGGGGTGTTTCTATTTCTAGGTGTAAATAATATTTACCTAATTCACTACTATTCTATAAATGATGACCATTATTCAATAACAGGTTACAAAATACACACAGAAAAATCAAGGAAAACACAACTTACTATCAGGAGACAAAGGAATCAATAGAATCAGACCCAGAGATGACCCAGATGATATAACTATTAGACAGAGACTTTAACTGTGATGAATATGTTAGTACCTAGTGGAAAAGATGGGCCAATGCATGAACAGATGAGACATTTAAGCAGGGAAGTGGAAATTCTCTTAAGAAGTCATATGGAAATACTAGCAATAGAAAATACAATATCAGATATCAATAATTTCTTTTATAGGCTTATTAGAAAGTTGGACACGGCTAAGGAAAAAAGTTAGCAAACTTGAATATAGACAAAGTAGTTTATTCAAAATGAAACAAAGTGAGAAAAAGAATAGAAAAAAACAACAGGGACTCCATTGACAGTTGGACAATATCAAATGGTCTAACATTTACAGATTTTTTTCTCAAAACAAAGTCTCTCTTTGTTGTCCTAGCTGGAGTGCAGTGATGCAATCATTGCTAACTGTAACCTTGAATTCCTCGGTTCAAGTGATCCTCCCACCTTAGCCTGCTAAGTAGCTAGAACTACAGGTACATGCCACCGTGCTGGCTAATTTTTTAATTTTTTGTAAACATAAGGTCTCCCTATGTTGCCCAGGCTGGTCTTGAACTCTGGGCCTCAAGGAATCCTCCCACCTCTGCCTTCCAAAGTACTCTCTGGGACAACAGGCATGAGTCACCATACCCAACCCATTCATGGAACTTGAATCTGAGAAAGAGAAGAAAAAGGAGAAGAGAGAAAGGAGGGGAAGAAATATTTGAAGAATAAAATGGATGAAATTTTTTCAAAATTAATGAAAAACAACAAACCATGGATTTAAGAAGCTCAGAGAGAACCCAGGCAGGATAAATAAAATGCACACATACGCAAATATACAAAAACACACACTAAACACATCAGTTAAACTGCTGAAAGATGGAGTGAAAATATTATGAGCAGCTAGACAAAAAGATGAGTCTGAAGAAGTAACAGACCAGATCACAAGGAATTTATATGCAGATCACAAGGAGTTTTTATACCATGCAAACAACTTCAGATTTTTTTCCTTCCTGATGGCAAAGAGAAGACACTAGCAGATTTTAAACACAGAAGTGTTCAGATCAAATTTACATTTTACAAAGAGCTCTGTAGCAGCAGTGTGGAGAATGGTTTGGAGGGGGCAAATCATAAGAATGGATAAGTCTATTGTGGTATATTCATATAGTGAAATAAAACAGAGAAAACGAATGAACCGGAGCTAAACATATTACCATGGATGAATTTCATAAGCATAAAGTTAAATAAAAATATCAACTTGCAGAAGAAAACGTATAATAGGATACAATTTATATAAGCTTAAAAGCAATGTTGTTAAGGAATGAGAGATTTAAAAATAAAAATCATAGGAATGTTAAACAGAAAAGTAAAATACCCTGGGGACGGATAGAGAAGAAATGCAATCAGCAGGAAGTACACAAAGGTTTTAAAGGCATTGGTAATATTTTGTCTATTATTATTATTATTATTATTTGAGATAGAGTATTACTCTGTTGCCCAGGCAGTAGTGCAGTGGTGCAATCTCTGCCCACTGCTCTTGGGTTCAAGCAATTCTCCTGCCTCAGCCTCCCATGTAGCTGGGATTATAGGTGGGCACCACCACTTCCAGCTAATTGCTGTATTATCAGTAGAGATGGGGTTTCACCGTATTGGCCAGGCTGGTCTCGAAGTTCTGACCTCAAGTGATTTGTCCACTGCCTCAGCCTCCCAAAGTGCTGGGATTACAAGCATAAGCCACCACGCCTGGCTAGTAACATTTTATTTCTTAAGAATATGGGTGTTGGTTTTATTATTTTAATTTACCTTTGATAAATGCAATATAGCATGATAAATTTTGAAACTAAAACTAGCAAAAAATAAGGCACAAATTTTCTGTCTAAAAATATTTAATGAAAAAAATAGAGAAGTAATTTTAAATCTCTCCAAAGAAGATACACAAATCATCAAAAAGCACACGAAAACATGCTCAGCATTTTAGTCAGTACGAAAATGCAAATTTCACGGTTCACTAGGATGGCTAGAAAAGACAGACAATAGCAAGTGTTGCCAAGGACAAGGACACGTTGGAGGCCCCATACATTGATGATAAGAATGTAAAATAGTGCAGCCATTTTGAAAAACAGTTGGAAGTTCCTCAAAAAGTCAACCATGAGTCCAGCCATTGTACTCCTGGATATATACCCAAGAGAAATGAAGACAGGTGTTTAAACAAAGACTTGGACATGAGTATTTATAGCAGCATTATTCATTATTGCCTAAGGTGGAAAAAAACCAAACATCTATCAAGAACTGAATAAACAAAATGGTGGTACACTTATACAATGAAATATCATTCAACCATAAATGGCAAAAGAGATCTGAATAGAAACCAGTGTATTCAACCATGAAAGAAAAGTTCTGATATATGCTGTCACATAGATGAACCTTGCTGACACTATGCTAAGTGAAAGAAACCAGCCACAAAGGACCACGTGTTGTATGATTGCATTCATATGAAATATCCAGAATAGGCAAATGCATGGAGACAAAGAATCAATTAGTGTTTGCCAGGAACTGGGAAAAGGGAAGAATTGGAAAAGACTGCTAAATGGTACAGGATTTCTTTTTGGAATGATAAAAATGTTCTGGGACTAGATGGTGGTGATGGTTGCAGGACCTTGTGAATGTACTGAAAACCACTCAGTCATACATTTTTGAAAGGTAGAATTTATGGTATGTGAATAATATTTTAATTAAAAATAAGCTAATGGGAGGAAGAGGTTGATAAATAGTATAGGCCAGGCATAGTGGTTGATGCCTATAATCCCAGCACTTTGGGAGGCTGAGGTAGGAGGACTGCTGAAGGCCAAGAGTTCAAGACCAGCCTGGGCAATATAGAACCCCAACTCTACAAAAAAAATGTAAAACTTAGCCAGGCATGGTAGCATACACCCATAGTCCTAGCTACTCAAGAGGCTAAGTCTAGAGGATTGCTTGAGCCCAGGAGGTCAAGGTTACAGTAAGCCATGATCATGCCATTGCACTCCAGCCTGGATAACAGAGTGAGACCTTTTCTCTAAAAAACAAATAAATAAGTATATAGATAACTTGTTCTCCACAGACATGAAGGATATTACAATACTGATGTAAACACAAAGTTTGAAAAGTGAGGAGAGAAGCACCCAATGCCAGCAACAATGGAGAAGGTCGCTGAAGAGGCTGAGGGGATGGAAGCTAGAGCACCATCAGGGAAACTTTCTCATACCTAACGGCATGAGAAAGGGAGGAGGAGAGCCACAAGTCTACCGCTGAGTGGGTGCACAGAAGATCCAAAAGTTAAGAGGCTGCCAAGACACTGTGGAGACCAGATTCAGTATGCGGTCCGAGGGGAAGGGAGGCGTCCATGGTAATCAACGGATGCCTTGGGAGTTTTGACACCAGGTGCCTGGGAAACGCTAGTTAGGAAACAGAACCGCTTTGGGGACAAAGACAAGGTCTATTTTGAGTATGTTGGATTCAATGCACTGGCAGGACATTCAAGTGATGATGTTCGGCAAGCCGTTAGAAACTTACAATTCCAGAAGGTGGTCAGAGGTGGAGATGTGTTCCAGGACAGAGAGACACAAAAATAACGGCTGAAGTTGTAAGAATGAGTCATCTCCCTGAAGAAGCCAGTGGAGAGGGGACAGAAGAAGGCAAAGGGAAGACAGGGAAGGATGTCCACTCCAAAGCGAGGACAACACAGAAGGACCCATGGAGACAGATAAAGTGTGTTCCAGAAGAAGCAGAGTAATAGAAAGACAAAAGGCATCATGAAGTCATAGAATGGGAGAGCCTTGTAGACAAAATGGGATATAAGGGTATTAGATGTTACCCTAGAGAAGGTAATAACTACTAAAAGGCTATTGGAAATGATGAAGTCTTTGGCAATTCTGATGGAAGGATTTCTAATGGAGGGCAGTGATAGGATCCAGAGTCCTCTCCAAGATGAAAGTTTAGGAAAGCTGAGTGCCAGAACCACATAACAGGACCACTCGCTGCTCTTGACTTCCCGTAAGAACAAAGCCAGAAGGACCCTTTTTGGCAGATGATGCTCAACTCGGTCTTAGAATATGACATTCAACTACACTGTCATTGCACTCTGTCAAAATCAGACCAAAAGGCTCTCAGGTATCCCATTTAAAAAGCATCTAGAATACCATCACTGCAAGGGGCTAGGAGACCACAAAATCCACCCTCTGCATTTTTAGATGGGAAAAAAATGAAATTTTCCGCATTTGGTTAAATGAATTTCCAAAAGATCTTCAGCCTTTGGTGGCAGAGGCAATTCTATAACTAGAAATCTCTGGCTCCTTATCATGTGTCTCCCGGGAATATGTCACTTGCCTCTGTGAAATAACCTCTGATGCCCTTTAAGAGGTGACAGAAAGAAGCGGTAGAGACACACAATGGCTAGAAAAGTCTGACTCAGCCTGGCCTGATGGAAATGTGCTCAGCTTGCTTTATGAAGGTCTATCCAGCTATGAAAGCAGAAGACTTGCTCATTTGTCATTGATTTTGTGAATCTAGTAGAATGTTTTTTTTTCTGCCCTCATCACAGTGATTTTTGTTGCAATGTGTCAACTGGTATGTCAATGAATGACAGCATTTATCCATCAACAGTCAGATCAGCTTAAGAAAGCTCTATGTGGCTGAGGGAGTACTCCTGCTCCACGGAGGTAAGAGTTTTGCCTCAATTACCAGCAGAAGGCCTCTTCCCCCCACCCGCTGCCATTTAGTATTGTACTGTGTCTGCACCTAGGTATTCCCACCTTTGTTGTTGTTGTTGTTGTTGTTGTTGTTATTATTATTATTATTATTATTATTATTATTTCTTTTCGAGACAGAGTCTCGCTCTGTCACCCAGGTTGGAGTCAGTGGTGTGATCTTGGCTCACTGCAACCTCCGCCTCCCAGGTTCAAGCAATCCTCCTGCCTCAGCCTCCTAAGTAACTGGGGCTACAGGTGCATGCCACCACGCCTGGCTAATTTTTATATTTTTAGTAGAGACAGGGTTTCACTATGTTGGTCAAGCTGGTCTCGAACTCCTGACCTCGTGATCCATCCACCTCAACTTCCCAAAGTGCTGGGATTACAGGCATGAGGCACTGTACCCAGCCCAACCTTTATTTTTTAAATAACCTTATTGAGATATACTTTATATAAAAATATATATATATATATATATATATATATATATATATATATTGAGATATACTTTATATACATATGTATATGCCATCCAAGTCACTCATTTAATGTGTTCAATTCAGCGTTTTCTAGTATATTCATGGAGTCATACAACTGTCACTGTGGTTAAAATGAGAACATTTCCATCACCTTTAAAAGAAAACCCATAGCTTTTAGCTATCATTCACCTATCCCTATGACTTAGTCTGCCCCTAGCCCTAAGCAACCACAAATCTACTGTCTCTATAGATTTCCCTCTTCTGGACTTTCATATGTATGGAATATATAATATCTGGACTCTTGAGACTGGCTTCTTTCACTTAACATTGTGTTTTCAAGGTTTGACAATGTTGTAGCATATGTCAGTACTTCATTCCTTTTATAACCAAACAATATTTCACATGTGGTGTGGATATATGTTTTGATATCCATCAGTTCATTGATGGACATTTGGGTTGTTTCCACCTTTTGGCTATTGTAAAGAATGCTGCAAGGAACATTCATGCACAAGAGTTTGTGTGGCGCGCTCTGGAGTTCTGCCACACTGACAATTAAGTCCCATGCCTGTCCTGAGCTTTCTCTGTCCTCCTCCTGGAAAATATAAGAGCTTCTTAAAGCACTTAGCCTTTCATGACTTTCTTCTAGCTCATCAGTCCTGCTTAGATCATCAGTAGCTCCCCAATTCTGTTGTCCTTGTAGTTACTATTTTCTACATATTCCTAAAGTGCCAGATACCTCCACCAGCTAGAACGTTCCTTCCCTCTGACCTACCATTCAGTAGAGCAGCAAGCCACCACAACTGGGTCACCACATTGTGCCAGGCCTGTCTTTGCTCCATGGACCACCAGCCACAGGTTCCTCATTGCCAGCCAGAGAGGGATTCATCTCAAATTTCATCTAACCACTTATTTCCCTCCCTCCCTCCTTTCTTCTTTATTCCTTCCTTCCTTCCCTCGCTCCCTTCCTTCCTTTCTCTCTGTATATCTCTCCTTCCTTCCTTTCTCTTCCTTTCTTTCTTTTTCTTTTTCTTCATTTCTTTCTTCCCTCCCTCTCCCGCTACCTTCTCTCGTTCTCAGCAAGGTCTCACTGTCACCCAGGCTAGAATGCAGTGGCACAATCATAGCTCACTGCAGCCTCAAACTCCTGGGTTTGGGAGACCTTTCTGCCTCAGCCTCCTGAGTCTACAGGAGTGCACTACCACGTCCAACTAATTTCTAAAAAAAAAATTAATAGATCCAGGGTCTCACTATGTTGCCCAGGCTGTTCTTAAACTCCTGGCTTCAAGTGATCATCCCAACTTAGCCTCCCAACATGCTGTGATTACAGGCATGAGCCACTATGCCCAGCCGTCTCCTCTCTCTTGAGTCACTTCTAGTGTCAATCATTGCAGAGTGCATTCTCCAGGAAGCAGACAGCGAGGTGCATAGTAGGCAGGATAAATATTTCTTGTGGAGGGCCTTTGGGTTAACGGCTGTGTCAGGAAGGAGACAGAAGCAGAATTGGGCAGAGAGAAGTTCAAATTGATGGAGGGCTAGTGTCAGATGACCCATGAGGAGTACTGGAACTAACATGGCCCATGTTGTCTGTCCCGTGTTGGTCCAAACTTTATATCCCTGCCGTGATCAGTCACTGGATGTGGCCTTCCTGTCTGCCTACACACTTCCAGCAGGTGAGGCCACAAATCCTCCTGCAACAGGGGGATCTGGTGCTGTATCTCTAGCGCCAGCACAAGGCTTTATTGGAAAGAGTCTCCAAGACATTATTGAAAGCAGAAACCCTCTACTTGTATTTAATATCCTCCCCATGGGAGAGGATGATACATCATTTCAGGGCTTCCTTAGAGAGGCTCAAGTGATGCTCTGTCCTGTTCTTTGAGAAGGTGTGAGGGTGTGTGCTTTGCATGTTGGGACATCCCTCTTTGACCACAGCACTCCTGTTCTTCTTCAAAACATTGAATATGCAAGTCTTAGTGCAGAAACTAGTACAAAACTGCTCAGGCAAGAGCTGGAAGGGTAGAATGATGTTGGAGGCTGAGTACACGGAGAGAAGGAAAAGAGAAACCAGCCTTGTCTCATGAGAATCTGCAAGCCCTTAACATCACTGATATGGAGGAAGCTTGATAAACAGTATTTGATTATGATGATTCAGCAACATCAGCAGCATTAACCCCTTGTCACTTTTTCTTTGTACAAAGAATAATCTCCTCTTCTCTTCTCTCTCTCTCTCTCTCTCTCTCTCTCTCTCACACACACACACACACACACACACACACACACACAGACACACACACCTCTCCCACATGTATTTTTAGCTTCCTATCTCAAAGCACTCAACAAGCTTAAAATTCATGTACCAGCCACCTGCAAAGACCATCTTGTACTCACAGAAATGCAGCGTGTCCTGAAACAACAGCTGTTCAGTTCAGGGCAATGTCACAGAGGAGCCCAGGGCAGGAGCTGAAGACAAATGACGCGGCTGAAGCAGCAGGTGGATTCTAACTAGTTGGAATATGGAAGCAGATGGTAGAAAATATAGGGAGCAGCAAAAAAGGGCTTCATAATTCTACCTCTTTACCAAAAGTGCCCTGGACTCTGCCCACTGGATCTAGAAATCAAGAAAAGAAAATGTTTTAGAAGAAATATACAGCACAATCATCCTGTAACAACAGTAAAGTCTACATAGAGCCACCTGCGTCTGGCTGGATGGGTGGTTGGGACTTAGACAGTAGGTACTTATGAAAACAGTTTACATTTAGAGGTTATGGCTGGGCGCGGTGGCTCACGCCTGTAATCCCAGCACTTTGAGAGGCCGAGGTGGGCAGATCACAAGGTCAAGAGATTGAGACCATCCTGGCCAACATGGTGAAACCCTGTCTCTACTAAAAATACAAAAATTAGCCAGGCGTGGTGGCAGGTGCCTGTAGTCCCAACTACTCGGGAGGCTGAGGCAGGAGAATCACTTGAAGCCAGGAGGCAGAGGTTGCAGTGAGCCGAGATCATGCCATTGCACTCCAGCCTGGTGACAGAGCAAGACTCCTTCTCAAAAAAAAAAAAAAAAAAAAAAGAATTTAGAGGTTATCATACAATTTGGCTGCAGGAGGTCCCCAGATACTTGGTATTTTTGTAGATGTTTAGAGAATTTGCCTTTACTGGATCTCAAGCGAACTACGGTGGTGACAATATACAGGGAATCATTTCCAAAAACAAATCAGAATGACATTTTAGACCTTTCATTTCATTCTCATGGGTTTGGAACCTAGAGAAATAAGTGTGCGGAAAAAAGGGCTCAGATTAAAGCCTAAACTAAACACAAAAGCTACATCTGTCCATTTCCCTCCCTTCCCTTCTCTCCCTTCCTTCCCCTCTTCTTCCTTTTTTCTGGGGGTGCGGGGGTAGGGTCTCATTCTGTCATCCAGGTTGGAGTGCAGTGAAATGACCACAACTCACTGTAGCCTCCACCAACTAGGCTCAAGCTATCCTCCCACCCCAGCCCCCCAAGTAGCTGGGACCACAGGCATGCCCCACCACATCTGGCTAACTTTTTAATGTTTTGTAAAGATAGGATCTCCTGTGTTTCCCAGGCTGGTCTCAAACTCCTGGACTCAAGCGAACTCCTCTCACCTCAGCCTCCAAAAGTGCTGGGATTACAGATGGGAGCCACTACACCCAGCCTTCCCTTCTTTCAACCAACATGTTTTTATATTTTTTCTTTGGCTTCTACAAAGTTGGATAAATATACCTCTTTTGAAACAGGAGAGTACATGATAAATATATCAGATATTTTTCTCGTTTTGATTTGTTTAAAAATATTGCACTAAAGACATTAGAAGAAAGGAAAGAAACTGGTTCAGAGCCACATCACCCAGCAGCTATTGGTATTTACCCTTGTTGCCTTTCAGTCCTTGTTCGTGGAACGGAACACAGTGTATGGAAAGGGTCACGTGATAGGTGTAGTTTTTCTCCTCTGCGTTCTTCACTTAGCTCTGAATCCGCACCTCTTTTCTGGGTGCGCCACCAGCTCTCCTTTGCCATTCACACTAGAGCATCAACTGGGAGAAGGCAGAGGCTTGGACTGCTTTGTTCACTATTTCAGTCTTTAATACAGTGCTTGGCATATTAGAGGCATTCGCTAAATATTTGTTGAATGCATCACCTTCTTCATAATTCTGCTTGTTAACAATGGCTTAGATTCCATTAAGTAGACCACAGGGTTGCTGCTGTTGAAGGCTTAGGTTGCTTCCAACTCTTCACTCGCATATGTACAACAAAATAATAGCCGCCACCATACCTATAGATTTTGCCCTTCATTTTATTATATTAGTTTGGTTTAGTTTCGTTTCGTTTTTGAGATGGAGTCTCGCTCTGTCGCCCAGGCTGGAACACAGTGGTGCAATCTCAGTTCACTGCAGCCTCCGCCTCCTTGGTTCAAATGATTCTCGTGCTTTAGCCTCTCGAGTAGCTGGGATTACAGGTGCACACCACCACACCAGG